CTGGGTGGCTCAGTCAGTTAAGTGTCTGACTCTTGATCTTGGCTCAGGTCACTATCTCACAGTTTGTGGGTTTGAGCCCCATGTCAGGCTCTGTACTGATAGCGTGGAGCCTGCTTGGAATTCTCTCTCCCTCTATCTCTGCCCCTATCCAACTTGTGCTCACTCTCTCTCTCAAAATAAATAAACTTAAAAAAAGTTTTAATTTACTTCTTGAAAGCATCCCGGTGACAAATAGCCTTGTATGTACATCTTGGTATGTATATATGATGATCTCCTTAGTGTAAATGTTTAGATATGATTATTACTGGGTCATTAGTCGATTAAACATACACTGATTTTATAATCCCAACTACTCCTCCAAGGAATATGATTTTACCAAATTTTAATTTATCAGTGTTTATTTCCCTGCATCCTTACTAGTGTTAGGTATTTCCAGTCTTATTTTTTTATTCCTAGCCCAATTTTCTAGGGAAAACATTATGTCATTGGTTTAATTTTTATTTGTTTGATTAGAAAGAAGTTAAGTGGTTTTTCACATGTATTGTTCACTTGTTTGTGTGTTTGGTGAATTGCCGTTTCCATTTCTGCCCATATGTCTATTTTGGAACCCAGCCTTTATTTTTCCTTGGTAAAAATCTCTGTATATTAAATATCAGTAACTATGACTGTTTTATATATTTTAAATTATTTTTGTTTCCTGTGCCTTTTATGGTATTATTGACATTTCGTTTTTACATTGTTAGTTGCTTCTATCTTTAGATTTTTTTTCCACTTTCATATCAGAAATTATTTTCCTTTATGAGTGAGCTTCAATTTATTTTACTTTTACAAAAAGCAAGAATCTAGTGGGGATTTTATTTTCATAGTAAGAGTTTGATGATTGATCATTTGTCCTGGTCTGTGTGTGTGTTATGTATTTTTGAATTGTTAAAATTTGTTCTGGAATAGACTTTCCTGTCTTTACTAACTTGAAGATTCCACCTTGATTGTACACCATACTAGCTTCCTATGCAGATTAAGTTCTGGATAGTTGTCTCATGATTTGTCAATCATACAGGATAAACTAGTTGAACTGTTAGTTACATTTGTATAGTGTATTTAAATATTTGATAGTGTAATTTCTGTTAATTATTTTGAATTTTTCAAAATTGTCTCTGCAGGAATGCAAACTAATACAGTACAAATATCAACATTATTGGTAGATAATAAGAATTATAAAAGTTTTGAATTGGAGGAGAGCAGATAGGATCTTCGGGAAGATGTGGCACTTTGGCTGGACACAGACTCATGAATCTCATTTGACCTGGCAGAAGGGAAGGAGAAAGGGTTTTCCAGATGCTGTGACTAAGAGCGTCCAGGATTGTGGTGAAGAAGCATTATATAATGGGTGATGGGTGAAGCAGGGCGTATTTGTTGAGTACCTACTAAATGGGAGTCATCATAGTAAGCACTGTACAGGAATAACTGAGGTTGGCTGAATCCTCATACTTTGTCTCCTGTGTCACTGCATGGTCAGTGATCAGCTTTCATTCTGTTCCAATGTGGATGCAGAACTCAATATTTCTTTGAGTTTCTAAAAAAAAAAAAAAAAACAACAACCAAAAAAAACCAAAAAAACAGTTCACTCACAAAACTTTTGTCAGTCGATGGAAATCGCAGTTTCTTGACATCGATACCATAGACATTTTGGGCTGAAAAGTCCATTGTTTTAGTGCTGTCCTGTGCATTATAGGATGTTTATCCCTGACTTTGTACCCACTAGATGCCAATAGCAATCTTGCTGCCTGGATGGGACAACCAAAAATGTCTCCAGACATTGCCAAATGTCTCCTAGGGGGCAAATCAACTCTGAGAATCATTGATATAGGTGATACCAAACATAGGGAGGTTGGCGGAGCGTTTTGTTTTAAACAGTACACACAAAAAAACAACCCTTTGTTTTCCTTGCTAAACTCCCTTCTTGGTTTCTCTGCAGACAAATTTGAGGAGTGATGTTTTGCTTAATTGATTCCGAAGTTTTTCAACTCTGACACCATTGACATTTGGGCTACGTGATTCTTTGTTTTGGGGAGTGGTCCTGTGCAGTGTGGGATGTTTAGCAGCACTGCTGGACTCAACCCAGGAGATGCCAGTACCCCTCCCCTCCCTTAAGTTGTGACAACCAAATCGGTCTCTAAACATTGTCAAAATCGGCCCTGATGGGGAACCGTGGTGCAGTGTAGATTATGCCAAGAATAGGAAGGTTGTGGGCTTTTATTCTCCACAACCCATGTCATTTTTTTTCTTATTTTTCTTTTAACATATAGTGTAATAATGATTTCAGGGGTAGAATTGAGTGATTCATCACTTACACATAGCACCTGTGCTCATCCCAACAAGTGCCCTCCTTAATGCCCCTCACCCATTTAGCCCATCCCCCCACCCAACTCCCCTCCAGCAACCCTGTTTGTACTATTTAAGAGTCTCTTATGGTTTGCCTCCCTCTTTGTTTTTATCTTACTTTTCCTAAAAGATATCATTTAAAACCCTCTTTCTTCTCCTGAAGTCCTTTCTTGGTTACTGTGCAACTGGTTTTTGTTGTTTTGTTTTGTTCATGCTCCTTTAGGGATTGTTCATCTCAGTACTAATAATGTTTTGGGCCAAAAAATTCTGTGTTGGGTGGGGCTGTCCTGTAGATGGTAAAGTATTTGCACAGTATCCCTGACCTCTACCAACCAGCTGCCAGTAACACCTTCCCACCCAAGCCCCTGATAAAAGACCAGTGCTATCTCCACATACGGTTAAATGTCTGCTGGAGGGAGGGCCCAAAATGCCCCTGGTTTAGGACCCCTGTTCTGTCTATGCTTACCTTTCCGCATACAGCGGCTCTTGTTTTCAGTTGTTTGTTTGAGAAGAAATGTACATTGTCTCCTTGTCTTACCAGTCGATGTGGAGTGATAATTTTTGCTGTTGTTACTTGAACATGATTGAAGAAGCTATCTCAAAGTGGTTTAATTGTTACACTTTTCTCTAACAAATATAGTGTTGTCCCTAAGAGGAATTCTGACAAATAACATATACTCTGACTTGCTAAACATTCATCATTTCTACTCTCAGTGAATGGGAGTGGGCCATTTGAGTTTCTGTCACAGGTTCTGCTCTAGACTGCTTTTGCATTAGAGTAAATCTGCACATACCACTCTCTTTCACTAAATCTGAATGTATGGGCAACCTGTAGATAAATAAGCATATTGTCTTGCACACATTAACTGTATTAAAATGAAAAGAATGTCAATACTGGAATCAGGCACAACTGGGTTAATGTATCATGTAACTCCTCTTTAACCAGATTTAGTAACCTTAGGCAAGTTAGTTTCTCTGATCTTGTTCCATTCTTTGAAAATTAGGGGTAAGATTACCTTCTGAGTGGGTTTTTTATAAAGATTATAAATTAGATGATAAAGCACCTTTTTGTATATCAAACACTCAAAAATGCTAACCATTGTTATGAATTTTATCAAGAAATATTGAGGCCTATATTAAGAGCCTTTGAAGCCAGGATTTAACCTAGAGTATTTACCTCTGTATTTCATTTAATTTCTGACTACTTTGTTGTGGTCACTGCTGGGGATGCTGGGGAAAAAAGATGGTTGTGTTAATTTTTTTTAATTTGTTGGAGATTGTAAGGCTTGACTAACTCTTAAGTTCTCATAAACATTGAATTTTAAAATTTAGCATCTTTGGGAGGACTTCTTGGAATGTGAGAAGATTTGTATTGCCTCTAAATAAAACATTTGAGATACATTATAAATTTGGAGTTCAACTAAAATTGCTTCCTATAGTGGGGCACCCGGGCGCCTCAGTTGGTTGAGACTTCATTTCAGTTTGGGTCATGACCTCAGGGTCATAGGATCAAGCCCCACGTCAGGCTCTGGGCTGAATGTGGGGCCTGCTTTGGATTCTCTCTCCCTCTCTCTCTCTGCCCCTTTCCCCCTCTCCCCCTCCTGCTCACTTTCTCCCTCTCTAAGTAAAATGAAAAAAAATTTTTTTAATTGTTTCCTATAGCAAAAGTGTCATTTGGTTGAATTTTTAATGTTTCTCCCAGTATGTAAGATATATTTTTCTTTCACATTAATTTTTCTCATTATGTATAAATGAAGTTTTGACCTTTTCAAGACAAATTGAAAAGTAAAATATGGTGAAAAGCAAATAAAGATAAATGTGAGTCACATTTCAAAAATCAATAAAAATGAAGAATGTACTATCCTGTCATTAAAAAGGGTTTCATTGTTCCAATTTGTTACACAAGGATGTGATTTTTCTTCCTATATTAGAAAATAAAGTGTTAGTAAAGGCTGAGTTACACAAATTTGGTTACAATATAGAATTTACAGGTGAAGGGGACCCCAAAATTATTTACTACAACCATCCCAATGTATTAGTGAAGAAAGTGAAGCCTTCAGAAGGTAAGTGACCTCCACAGAAGTTTTAACCAAAAGTTAGTGATAGAAACAGAATTGTGGAATCTACTAGACAACTGAGCATTTATTTTCTAATGAATTTTTTTTCAATTAGGGAATGACAATGGACATATTTTTAGGGGTTGTTGTGGAACTAACCACTGGGGGAAAATAGAATATTTTGACCAGGATAAACTTGATGATAATTATGTTTCAATTCAGTGCAGCTTTTTAAAGCAGGAAAAGCACCATTGTTGTCTGCTCCCAGTCTGTTAGAGAAGACACAGATGGACATGGCAGGCTATAAAAAAAGAAAACTAGACTTTAACCAACACATCACATTTAATTTTTTCCCACATAATCTCTCACTCTCTGATTTTTCAAACACTTTTGATTTTATTAAGGAACATATACAACATTGGAAACTTGTATTTAATAACTGGGTAAATGTCCTTAAGCTGCTAATATGTTTCCAAAACTTTTTGATGTATCTTGAATATTATAGATCTTTAACATATCTTCAATCTTCAGGTAGTGTAGTACGACTTTTCAACGTAGATATCAACAAGACTCCTTGGGTTTTTCACGAGATTTTGATTTTCTTCCTGCGTCCTTTTTTTGCTTATGTAACTTGTATTGTTCGGCCATTGTTATAAGATCTTTGGGGACACTTTGATTTGCTCGTTGCAGAATTTTAATCAATTCAGTGGCAATCTTCCAATCATTTTGAGTTGTGAGGGTAATCGATATGTCAGTCTTCCCTGCTCTTCCAGTACGCCCCACTCTGTGTGCGTATTCTTCGATATTGCGGGGGAAGTCATAATTATACACATGGGTGACATCATTAACATCAAGACCTCTGGATGCTAAATCGGTAGCAATCAATATTTTCACTTGTCCGATTTAAAGTCCTCTAGTGCTTGTTCACGATCATGTTGTTCTCTGTCACCATGCAGTGATTGTACAGGGATACCTTGTATGCCTAAATCACTGGATAAGTCATCAGCGACAAGTTTTCTGCTGACGAAGATGAGGACTTTGTCTTGGGGTGATAGGCTCTCTAGGAATTCTTGGATAAGAGATCGTTTTTCTTCTTCTGTGGTAACAATTACAATTTGCTTCACTGTATTTACAGCAACTAGATCCAGAGTGACAACATAAACAATCATAGGCTCTTTCAAATAAGATTGAGCAAGTTGACGAATGGTATCTGGCCAGGTTGCACTTGTCATAATGGTCTGGCGGTCTGGGCGCACATCTAATAAAATCTTCATTATCTGGTGTTCAAACCCCAGATCTAGCATTTTATCTGCTTCATCTAGGACTAAGTAGGTTACGCTTTGTAGGGTGACAAACTTATTCATTTGCAGATCATTCAGTCGTCCAGGAGTTGCAACAATGATGTCTACTCCTTTGGTAATGTCTCGTATTTGTCGATCTCTATTCCCACCACCATATATACAAACACTTTTAAGACCTTTGTATGAATACTTAGAACATTCAGCTTCCACCTGAAGAGCTAATTCTCTAGTGGGTGCAAGGACCAGCATGCCAGGTCCATGCCTTTCCTCTCTCGATACTGGTTGATTATTGAGATGAATAAACCCAGGCATTAAATAGGACAAAGTTTTGCCTGTTCCCGTTTGGGCAACTCCTATAAGATCGATTCCTTGTAGAATAATTGGCCATGCCTGTGACTGAATCGGCGTTGGGTTTTGAAAACCAGCTCTTCTAATGTTTTTCATAAGTTCAGGATAGGGTTGGAAAGCATCCTCAAATTTACAGATGGGATTGGGGATGGGACGCTTTTCACCATCTTTCAAGTCATCACACATTACGTCAAAATTTTCCTTTCTCCACATATCTACCTGAACTCGAGACATTGACCTTGTTGCTTTGGATTCTACATAAAAATTTTCCTGAATTGGTGGTAAATCTGCCCATTTTCTTTTTTCCCACTCTACGACTTCTGCCCTGACCTGATCCCACTCTATCAGTGGCTGAACTTGTCTACCAGTGGTATCTGTGTGAAAATCTCGTCCCACAAAGGGCTGAGGGCCAGCATTATCAACACTGGATTCTGAAGTGTAGCTTCGTTCTTGTTTTTTTATTTTTTTTAATTTTTTTTTATTTTTTTACATTTTTTTACATTTTTTTTTTCAACGTTTTTATTTATTTTTGGGACA